GATTCATTAATCTCCAGCAGCTAAAGACAAACCTAAAGCAAAATTAACATGATTGTAAACGAAGCACTCCTGTCCCGTGGCTATTTCTCTCTTGCTGAGCGAGAACGAGTGGATCAAAGGCAGACACTTCAGTGAGATTAGTGCTGCTTCAGCGAGCTCACAGTTAGTTTCCATTAACTAACCTGTTCTAGGAGCTGGGAACACCATCATTAATCTTGGCTTCAATTGAAGGGAAACAAGGGAGTGACCGTCCATCTCCTGGTGCCACTGCACCTGCCCTACAAGCCTGTGCAAGTCCACGTAGAGCCTTTCCTTGCTGGACAGGTGAAGAGCTGCAACTTTTTTCATGCTAAGCATTCAAGACTCCCCTGGGAAAGCGAAGCAGAAGTATTGTTTTGCTGGCTCATCATCCAGTGGCGAGTTGAAATCCTACCAAGTGACTGCAGTTAAGGTAGGAATCCACTGGAATGGGCCAGATGAGGAGCTAATGGCCATTAGGAGCAAGCCAGCCTAGGGAGACCCAGTGTAACAGCAGCCTCAAAGGGATGCCCTCCAAGGAAAAAGCTTGGTTTTCACCCTGGCTTAAAACATGAATGCTTTATGCATTTACATTTATCAGCAGCTTGTAAGGTTACCAATATCTATAGAACTACAGCCCTTAAGTAAATTGATAAAGTTCAAAAGTATAGAGAAAACCAAACCCACAACAAGCTACTTGTTTAAATCCACCCATCTGAAACCCCACCTTCTACTGTTCAGTGTTATCTCTCAACACAGATCTCCCACACAACGTGATAGATTAGTGAGTCTTGAGAAAATTTATTACAAAATGCAGCTTTCCAGAATTGAATTTCATATTCTTAGTTGATATTCACAGCCTAAATGTATATATATATATATACATATGAATTATTGCTGACAAAAATCTCTCTAGTGAAACATAGTACATTACATAGATAAGATCCTCTGCATAAATACAAAGCTGGAATAAACTGTTTTTCTGATAAGTTTCTGTGATGTGGATAATATTTGAATATCACACTTCTCAAGTCACATTTCTTAGGTTTGTGAGAAAAATCTCATTTATTGAATTTAGAAAGACGGCAAAAGTTTACAAAACAAAAGGAATAAAATGAAAAGGAAAAATTACAACACATGTTGGGTGTTCACACAGTTGAAGCAAAAGGTTCAGTTCCAATAGTTGGTACATAACTTTTCAGGCATATTCCTCAAATTCCTCCAAAGCTGCCTTCAAAAATCTGTTTTAAAGTTCCACTCTTCTCTAATCATTAAAATGTTATCATTTAATCGTTATATGTTAAAACATTTAAATGTGATAAGATTTGTGAAGCACTTTTCCAAATAAAACAGTATAAAAATATTTCTGGACAAATCTGTCTCTTTTTTATGGATTACAACATATAGTTTATCTGCAAAAACGCTATAAAAATGAAGAAAATATTAAAATATCACAACTTTTCCTCCCCTCAGCCTCTTCTTCTCTAAGCTGAACAAGCCAAGTGACACGGGCATCCTGAAATTTTTTGGCTGTGGTAATATTAATGTGAATCTTTCTACAGAGAACAGTTGGTCCTATAAAGCCAATCGTTGCGTTCATCCCCCTAAGAAAACCTCTAAGTTATGTCTCTAGCATAGACAAGTGAATTACTTGACAAGAATTAATTAACAGTCATCAATGCACTTACAGGTGCTTAAGGACAAGCACAGCATCACACAGAACTGCCCTTCCACAACTGCGTTTGTGGTTCTGCTTCTCCCTTGCACCAACAGTAGCAGTTTGGAGCCTGCACGGATTTGGACAATTAGGAAACAGAGCCAGCTCAACACTAATTAGCACAGACTATTCAAGAGAGGAGACAAGTCACACCAGCCCGGGTTGGACCATCTTAAATTGCCACATAATCAGACACTTGAACTGACTCATCCAGCAGAGAGAACTTAGAAGATTTAGCCTAAAAAATTCACAGGCAAAAAGGTAGTTAGCCCAACTTGAATAGACAAGAACAGTTTGTTAAGGAGAAAAAAAAAAAAAAAGGATAAGATTGCCACTTTCTACTATTTGGTATTTCCAAATACCCCCTATGGAATTCAGGGGCAGCAGCTGAACAAACTGGAGTGGAAAGGGGGTGAGACCCAACAGCAGGATTATAATGAGGATTGTAGACAGCTTCTGTTAACCAGGAATAAGAGTATTGAACTTCAGAAGTCCATCAAACATGTGGTCTCCCACAAGAGATTTATAAAACACATCACATCATCATTAACTTCACAGATAATATTAAAATAATATGTACAGACTATAACATGAGAAAATGCAAAGCCTAGGTGTTCATATTTATAAAGCACATCACCATAAAATTAGTAATACCCTCTAACAGACTAAAAGTACTCAGATATCACCTCGTTTATACTACAGAGGATATTTACTCCTTCAGGACCTATTAGCAATTGAAAAAACAAAACAAACCTATTAGTAATTAAAAAAACAAAACAAACAAACCTAAACATCCATCCCACATCACTAGAGTTATACTATCTGGGTAACAGAGACACCCACCAAAGAGGAACCCCAACTACAATATTTAATCAGTTTTCAAGCATTTCTATAACCCAGGCACTACACAGAAGTGTTTTAAATATAACACACCTAAAAGAGAAAAGCACTACCATGAAACAAACTGTCCCCAAATTCTATGCACTCTGAAACATAACATGACTTAGTCACTGCTACACGTAAAACTGTAAATGTTACACAAGCAGAATACATGTTACATGCTAGAAATACACTACTAATAGTAACTAACTAAAGTCAGGATAAATAAGTGGCAAATAACAAAAGACCCTTATTTTCTGGGGGGAAAAAAAAATACTACTCATTGAAGAGCCAGCCCAATCAGTCATCTCAGATAACACTGGAAACTAGAATTCATAAACTCGAGGAAAATTAAAACTATTTAATTTTTATTCACGTACCTCCTCACGACTGCCTTTTTTGCAGAAAAAGCATATTATTTGTGGATCCAAGCTCTAGGCACTGAAAAAGTTCATGACCTGACCATCTCACCCCCACCATACTTAATACCTTCTGTTTCCCAGGCACCCCCTGCCTTTTCTCTTTAATAGTTTACAGCTGAAGCAACCCAGTGAAGCTTGATTACTATTCACTTCAATTTAAAATCAGAATTGCACCTGAAGAAAAACTTTTGTGCTTGACGAGCTTCCTAAATGTTGCAGGTGACTTAAATAAAAGCATTACCTCCCCATTAAAAACCTCCCATCGCACCTGTGGGCAAATGCAGCTCCCATTGGGGTACTAAAGCACGCAGCTGAAACAGATTTAATAAATAAATAAATAAATAAACGTGGATAATTGGCCACGTTAACTCGGAAAAAATAAAGGCAGTTTTTTTCCTCACACAAAATAGATGGGATGAACCTGGGAGAAAAGAAGAGGAAGTAATATACAACAGTTTTCCTGACAGTAGGATCACAGTAGTGTCCTGAGGACAACAAGGTGTTAAAGAAAACCCTGATAAACTTCTAGGAATAAAAAGGACATGACTAGTGGTTTAACAAAAACTGTCAATAAGTTTGCTTGATTTTTTTTTTTGTCCTTACCAATGCAACTCCTTGCAGAAGCATCAATCAGATCAAAGACTTTGAAATATTACCACAAGTACTGCCATGGAAATATTCAATAGCTAAAGTAATTTTTAGCTCTCCGTAGCATGAAGTTATATAAGACTGGTAGGTAAGGCTATCCTGCTAAAAGTCCATGTTTTGTTAATTTGTTAAAGGTTCAGGGCAAAAGTTGAGCTTGTGTTTTTTCAAAGTGTCCTGCAAGATAATATGTATTTTACCTCAGCAAAGGTGCTACAGACAACCCAGAAAAGTACAGAAATCATGTGCTAATCTCAGAGAAAGGCTGTGATACGGCAAGACATCAGGGCAGTGGGGAAGCATACTTTTTTCCAGAGGTTTATTCAACTCTGCAGAAGCACTAGGCTTTTGATTTTTAACTTTTTTGCAGGCTCAAATGCAAGTGGGGAATTGTCACCTAAATGTCATGGTCTCACAGGGTAGTTTGGTTAGTTTAATATTCAGCTTGTGATAGACTATGCTGGCCCAAACATTATTATAGTATTCCAGTACCTGAAGGGAACTTACAGGAAAGATGGGGCAAAATTATTTATAAGAGCGTGTAATGACAGAACAACAAGGAATGGGTTTAAATTGAAAGAGAGTAGGTTTAGATTGGATATTAGGAAGAAATTTTTCCCTGTGAGGGTGGTGATGCCCTGGCACAGGTTGCCCATGGAAGCTGTGGATGCCCCATCCCTGGAAGTGTCCAAGGGCAGGATGGATGGGGCTTGGAGCAACCTGGGATAGTGGAAGGTGTAATTGGATGAGCTTTAAGGTCCCTTCCTATTCCATGACCCCATGAATATTATATATGGCAATTAAGTTATGGTGAGTACTCAACTCCTGTCATTAGTAAAGTGTGTTAAATCCTCTCCACACCAGCTGAAGTCAGGGGACACTGGGCTTGCTCTTCACCACGTACTGGATGAGAACAAACTAATACAACAGCAATTCCCGGTCGGTTTGTTTTCTTTTTTTTTCCTATCCCTTCTATCTGGAAGGGGGGGTCAGGAGGGGGAACATCCCTCGGCTGTATCAGGGAGGCACAGGGGCGCTGCGGGACCCCCCTCAGGGCGGGGACCCGCCCAGCCTCGGGAGGGGGGTGTCAGCGCCACAAGGGAAGGAATATCCTCCCCGGGGAAGGATATATCCACCACCGGGAAGGACTGTCCCCTCCGGTACGTGCCCGGTGTCCCTGTGACACACGGCGGAGGGGACACGAGGGGAGACACGAGGGGGACAACGCGCCGCCGCAGCCGCCAGGGGGCGCCGGGCGGGCGGGCGGGCGGACGCGCGGGGGCCGCCGGGAAGGCGGCGGAGTAGAAAGGCGGGAAGCGCGGGCGGCGCGGGCTGTGTGTGTGCGCGCGCGCGCCATGAAGGAGACGCGCGGGTGAGGCGGCCGCGCCTTCCCGCCCTGCCCTGAGGGGGATCAGCGCCGGGAGGGGGGGGGCCCCGGCGGGTTCTCCGGCGAGGGAGGGCGGGCGAGGGGCTGAAACCTCCTTCCTGCCGAGGGAGGAATTGTGGTCGAAATAAATGGTGGAGCGCGCGGGTGGCGGGGCTGCCTTCGCCTGGCGCTCGCCGCATGTGGTGGCGGCGGCGGCGCCGTCGCCGAGCAACGGCAATGGCGGGCGAGGAGCGGCGGTGACGGGGCCGCGCCTCGCTGTGGGGCCGCGCGTCCCGCGGAGCCCCGCGGAGGAGCGACCCCGCCCCAGCCTCGGGCACGGGGAGCGCTGGGAGGAGCGACCCTGCCCCAGCCTCGGGCACAGGGAGCGCTGGGAGATCTGACCCCGCCGGCGGCTCCCTGCGGGCTCCGCGCAGCATGAGCTGCTGCGGCAGCGGCGAAGGGTGTAGCTGGGCTCCCTTCGCCGAAAGTCCCAGGTGGTGGGGTCTTTCCTCTGTTTTCCTGGTTTTTCTGCTGCCTTGTTTTGGTGGCTCGGGAGCTGGTTCCCAGTCCTTTCTCCCCGGCGCTGATGATGGCTGGAGGCGACGCCATCGCCCGCGTGGTGTGAATTTGCCCGCCGGCTCCGGGAGCGTGTGGGAGAGACGCCTCGCTGCTTCGTGAAGCTGTGGAAAAGGGGCAAAACCTGGAATAAACCCGTTTAAGTTGGATTTTTTTGTGTAAAAGTGGGATGTATCGGAACAGACGCGTGTCGGAGGTGTTTGTGGCGCGCAAGTTGTAGCAGGAGTTGGGAAAAGTGTCAAATTGCTGTAGGATTCTCGTTTAAACAGGAGGGTGAATGGGTTAGTGTACCACGTGTGTTAAGATCCATAAGATCACTTATTTATATGTGCCCGGAAGTGTGGCACACTTGAGAAAGCAAAAAAAGGTTTTATTTATTTTTAATTCCAAAAAGGCAACAAATTCCATTGAGCAGAAGCCGCTCAATAAAAATTTCCAAGTGCTGTTTTCCTCGGGTTTTGAGTTGTGAGCTTTCAGTAACATGTGCAAGCAACTGAAAAATATCTACTGTTGACTAGAAGAACTTGATATAAACACTATTTAAATATATATATTTGATGTTGATAATACTAAATTTATCTAATTGATGTTGTCCTTTATGTCACTCTCTAATTATGTGACATGTAGGAAGAATGGGGCAATGAAAGGCAGATGGTGCCTTTCTGTACTCTGCAAAGATCTTAAATGCTGGTGTAGTCCAAATCCCACTCTTGTTCTGTGCAGACTTTGTGAGGTACAAGTCTTAAAATGCAAGAAATGCATAGAACTTGGAAGCAGTTGCTGCTGTAGGTGTTTTGATTCAGTTGTAATGCACAGCAATTAAGCACAGGCTTTCCTCCTGTGTTTGTTTTGAAAATGATATCATAAGAAGGTAAATATGTATTATGAATATTTTTATTTGTGGAGTGGAAGTCTGTGTCTATTTGATTAGGTCAAGCCCTGGTTACACTTGTAACTAAACTTGGAAGACTAGTTGATAGGACTACAGTCCTAATACTTGCCCCCAGCTTCTTGGAAAACACATAGAACAAAGCTTGAAAAATGGGCTTGTAGAGAGGAAGGGGGAAAAACCCCACTAGGTGACTAAAAGCTGTGTGCAAAGTTTGATAATGTCACTTTGAGAGAAGGGAATATTTTCCCTCCAATTAGGAATAAGGAACTATGTGATAAGCTGTCTTTTTTTAAAGTGGGGAAGCTGTCCTTTGAGCACTTCCTAGTCTTATTCCAACCAAAATGGGTCAGGTATCTTAAATAGTAACAAACATCTCTTGACCAACCCAGTAATTCTTTGAAGTTGTCTATATGTGGAGGGGGAAATTACCCAGCTTGAATAATGGCACGTTAATCTCTTTGTCCTTAGGGTCTGGGTATGAACTCTGGCAAGTATGATGAGCTGTGCAGACCTTTTAGTGTTTTCCCCCTTTTGCTACCATTTCTGTAGAGACCTTTGATGCATTAAGCACCATTCTTATCTTCTGTCCCAGTTTCAACTAGTAATGCAAAATGAGGTGCTTTTCCTCCACTTCCCCCTTTCTAAAGCAAGGGTTCTATGTAATAACACACTGAATTTATTGCACCAACTCTGTTTAACAGACCACTTCATTATATGCCTCTACAATCAATTGTAGTGCTCTTCCAGAATCAGTCAAAACACCACAAATACACTTAAAAGAAGTTAAATTGTCTTGTTTAATGTTAGCAGGATGCTGTTGGGAATATCCTTAAATCAAAACAGACATGAAACTGAAATGTGCCTAAAAGTTATCCTGTGTGTGGTGTCATAGTTGGTTAATTTCTTACATCCACAAATGTGTGTTTGATTTGGGTTTCTTCAAAGTAGTTACGTCTTCTAAGTTAGCTCAAGTTATCTAAAAATCATGAGGGTTTTTTTTTCCCCCTCATTTATGTTAATGCTGGGTAAAAGAGCAGAAGTGGGATATGGAAACCTGTAAGCTGAAGGGTGTTTTCCAATAAGGTTTATCTTTTTTTTTTTTTTTTTAATATGTGCTCAGTCCTTTATTTTCTCACAGTACTTCCAGGCATCAGAACCAGCCTCAAGGGCACTATGGACTTACCTCTCCAATTAGCTTGGCTCCTCCTAGTGATATAGACCACACTCACACTCAGAAGCTGATTGAAGCCATGAAGCCATTTGGGGTGTTTGAAGATAAGGAAGAACTGTACCAGAGGTATAACAAGACTGTAAAATTTGTTAACCTCTTGGTTTTGTTTTTGTTTTTTTTTTTAAATCAAACTTAGTGTGAGGTTTTTTTACAGGACAACTGTCCTTGGTAAACTGAATAACTTGGTCAGAGAATGGATTTCAGAACTTGCCGAGAGCAAGGTAAGGAGTTTTTGATATGTTTTTATCAAAACAGCTGAAGCCTTTTGATTTCTTTTAGAGGCCATACTACTAGGATTTATGCTAAAGTTCAGCTTTTAACTTTAAAGTATCAAGTAGAGCTGTAATAACTGCTGTAGAAATAATAAGTTCTGCAAGATCAGGATTTCAAAGTCGTTGGGGCACTGAATAAATTTTGTGAATTGGCTCAATCAGTTGACTTGTTAACAAGGCTGAAACAACACCTTGTGGATGAGGAAGGTGGTAAATTGGCACTAATTTTGCCCCAAACAGCCTACAGCACTCAATCTAGTTTGAAATTATTACCCTAGACATGCCTTTTGAATGGCTCTTAGATTGTGTTAATTTATGTGCCTCTGCTGCAGGGAAGGCTAATAATAGGTCTTAATTTGTATAAATTAATAAGAGTACTGCTACATTACTCAATCTTCTTTTTTTTTTATTATTAGTGGGAAGCTCGACTCACTTCAGAAAACCAGTCTATTAAACTGAAAACCCAGTCTGGGAGTGAAAAGATGTGTTTATGGAGTCTGTTATAGTCTTCCTAAATAACTACTTAAACTTGCATGTAGGACAATGTGCATCTTAAACTCTCTCTTTTCTGCCCACAGAATCTTCCCCCTTCAATAATAGAACATCTTGGTGGCAAGATATTTACATTTGGTTCCTACAGGCTTGGAGTGCACACTAAAGGTAGTACTTTGAGTGTCTGGTCGTAGTTCTGGTGTTGGAAAGTGGCTTCCAGCAAATAACAGAACAAATGGAATCTCTTGGCAGGTTCTGACATAGATGCCCTTTGTGTTGCTCCCAGTCATGTGGAAAGATCGGATTTTTTTCAGTCATTCTTTGAAAAACTGAAAAATCGAGAGGAAGTAAAAAACCTGAGAGTGAGTAAACCCTGCCTGGTAGTGTGTGCAACTTTTACTATAAGAATATTCATGTTAGACTTGTATTAGTAGTAAATGTCTTACAAGCCCAAGTTAAAATAGAAATTGTTTCTGAGCACCTTCTAAAATACTGGTTTATGCAGCATGAAAATGTTTTATGTCCAGCTTTTGGTTTCTTCCCCCGAGGACCGTACATCACATAAGAGTTATTGTGGTTTCTTCTCCTCTCCCTGTGTTTGGGAATGAGTCAGTTGTATCAAAAAGCAAGGTTGTACCTGGAAGATATGATTTCATCTTAGATGTAGGGAAGGGGCTTACAACCACTGATCCTGATGGTTTGTTGTGCACTGACAGTTTGTTACAACACGCGATCAGCCCCTGAATCTCTTGCCTAAGTAGCTTTTTAATAAAATCTAATATTAGTACCATAATAGTGCTACACTGCTGGAGGGTTATTAGCAATTTTCTTTGTGTTTGGAAGCAACTCTGTACTGAGGAGTTGAGCAGTTTAAAGTTCTATACTTTATCATAGTATAGGAAAAACACTGAAACAGCAGAACGATGTTTCATTACACACATGCTCTCCTTCACAGGCCATTGAGGATGCCTATGTGCCAGTTATCAAATTTGATTTTGATGGCATTGAGGTAAGAATTTTAACTTGTAGGTTTGGTTTGGTTTTTTTTTCTTGCTTTGGAGTGGGATAACTTTTCCAGGGACCTGTGATCGTGCTGTTTTACAAGGCTATTGGTACCTTACAGTGTATTTAGGAAACTGTAGTTAAACAGCCTGACCACAGCCTATCCCAGGAGAAGACCCTGAGTAAAATGGGATCTTGCAGGAAAATAAGTCCCTAGGAAGCCATCATGAAGACACTTATTCAATGACCCTTTTGTGGCCTTTATCTGGTACAGACATTCCCAGAATAATTTTCTTGCCTCAGACTGTAAAAAAACCAGATACTTAAGGGCTTACAGCATAAAGAAAATGCTCTCTTATTTGCTGAAGTATAGTTAAGGTGGTTTGAACTTAGGTCTTAGTTCTGTGGTTAATTTTAAATTTCCTCTTAACAGGAATTCTAAGTTTAGAGTAATCTTTCCAACTTTGGGAAAAAAAAAAGAGGTGGTTTTGTAAATAAATATGGAACTTAGTGCAATTTTGTTGTTTTCTGGCAAGCAAATCTCTTGGCAGATTTATCTGTGGTCACATAATTCTAAATAAAAATGTTAACCACTCTTTTTAGAGTTGACTAAGAGTCAAAAGTGTCCCTCACTAGTGTGCTGTTTGCAAACTGCTGCATTGTAAACTCATGGTTGGAACCTTTTTCCCTTTAAGATTGATCTTGTGTTTGCAAAACTGTCCATGCCAACTGTGTCTGATGATCTCGATCTCAGAGACGACTCGTGCCTGAGGAGCCTGGATATAAGATGCATAAGGAGCTTAAATGGTAAGTGTGTTTTACACACCTTTAAAAAGGAAGTGTTACTGAAATTGGCCTAGAACTGGCACAGAATGCACATTACACAACCCACATTTCTGTACAGGTTGTAGGACTGATGTCCTGTGTGCTTGAGTTCTGAGGTGGCAATGAGTGGGCTTCAATTTAGATATTTCAAGGAGTTGTGTGTTCAGATAGACGTGTATTTTTAGATTGGTTTGTGTGCAGTGTTCCATTTTCCACAGCAACTCACGTGACTAGGTAGGGCACTTGATAAAGAATGTGTGGTAGTTCATTTAAAAAAAAAATAATTAAAATACCTGAAGTCCGACTTGCTCACTTCTTAACACCGTTTGGTTTAATGGTTCCTGGCTGTCAAAAGAAACCTGGCTCTTTGGAATTAAAGAATCACAGAATAGTTATGGTTGGAAGGGACCTCTGGTATCATCTCGTCCAACCCCCTCCTGCCAAGGCAGGGTCACCTGGAGCAGGTGACACAGGAATGTGTCCAGGTGGGTTTGGAATGTCTCCAGAGAGGGAGACTCCATGACCACCCCGGGCAGCTGTTCCAGTGCTCTGCCACCCTCCATGGAAAGGGTGAGGTGGAACTTCTTGTCTTTTAGTTTATGGCCAAAACATCCTGTACAAAGACCTTATTACAAATGGTTAGTTGGCATTTAAACTATGAAAAAGCTGTTGAGGGCACCAGTTACCTGAAGTGATACCGAATGTTGTGTGTAATCTGTAATTTTTTTAAGGAGATACAAAAGAATTAATTCAAACTTGTGTTCATAGACTTGAACAAACCATTGATCAGCATAAAACTGACTCGTACCTGTTGCTAGGAACTTCTGCACTTCAACTTTTGTCTTGCAGGCAGCAGGGTTACTGATGAAATACTACGTTTGGTGCCAAATCTGGAGAACTTCCGCCTCACACTCCGGGCAATTAAACTGTGGGCAAAACGTGAGTAACGGGATTGCTTGTGGTCTTTAAACCTTTCAGAGGCATCTCATGCCTTACTACTGGATGTACCTCAGCTTTGGGTTGCTGTTTAAATGACAGTTGTTAAATTGAAACCTCCTTTAGTTTAGATTCAGGGTCTGTTTGTGTGGTAGACTCCATGTGGTTTTTAATGCTTACAAGACAGGGTGCTGCATTCCTTGTCAGGAACCTGATTACAAATGGTAAAAATCCTGAATTAAGTACAAAAGGATTAAGAAAATTTTGTGCATGTGGCTAGAGCAAGTACCAGAAGAATAGCAGAACTTTTTTTCTCAAAGGGAGGTGGGAGTGAAGCAGTAGCTGTGGCAGCATAAACACATTTTAGAGTAGCAATATTTTGAGAAGCAGTGTGGTAATAAACAGCAGTTTTGGCCTCACTGCACTGCAAAAACAAATGACTTTGGGGCTGAAGTATGCTGGGGTTGTGAAGCTGGTGCTGTAAGACTACAGACTAACTATGGTATCCCTTCTAGGACGTGGTGTTTACTCCAACATGATGGGGTTTCTTGGTGGAGTTTCCTGGGCGATGCTGGTAGCGAGGATATGTCAGCTCTACCCGAATGCTTTGGCCTCTACTCTCGTCAACAAGTTCTTCTTGATTTTTTCAAAGTGGTAAGAGCTATTGTTTATTTTAATTTGCATAGAGAAGTAACATATCTAGATGTAGTTCTATTTAAAGATTTCCACTGACAACATCCAGTGGAAGAGTTTGAAATGGATATTTAAACGCTGACTTTTCTTACACAGGGATTGGCCAAAGCCGGTATTGCTGAAACGACTTGAAGAGAGCTTTCTTAATTTACCAGTATGGGACCCTAGGGTATGTGAACATTGAATTCAGAAGCCTTTAAACTTTTCTCCTGACCTGAACTGATGCTAAACAAAGTTGTAACATCACAGGTGAACCCATCGGACCGGTACCATGTGATGCCCATCATCACACCAGCCTATCCACAGCAGAACTCTACGTACAATGTGTCTACCTCAACACGAGCAGTGATGGTAGAGGAGTTCCAACGTGGTAAAGTGCTTTCCATGCTTATTATCTGGCTAAGCAGATAATTGAAACCACATTATCTGAACTAGTTTTGCTAATTGAGGTGTTTTAGTTAGGATAAGGTCTCTGGGAAGTCCACCTGTTGCAGGCAACGAGACCAGTTCAATGATGAACTGTCGTAGTAGATCTGCAATGTGTCAAGGGAATTCATGCTTTTTGATCTGCCAATTACTGTCAATCTTGTAAAGTTTATAGTCCTAAAAACAAAATGGTAATAAGGTTTTCAACCTTAATTGTAGGTCTTGAAGTTACAGATGAGATTCTCAAAGGAAAATCGGACTGGTCAAAGCTCTTTGAACCACTGAACTTCTTTCAGAAGTACAAGTATGTATGAAATCTGTTGTCTGAACCTGAAGTAACTCACTGGTTAGCATAATGAGTTGGGGTCTAAATAGAAGGTTGTATTTATGTGTTTCAGTTTGGGGTGGTTTTTTTTGGTTGGTTTGTTTGGTTTTCTTTTTTTCTTTCTTTTAAAGAAACTGGAGGTAGTCATACAAATTTTGGTAAGGATAAGCATAGGAAAGATAGGAAAAACTGTCTAATGCCACTGATGCTGTTTTTACTACAAAAAACCCCACCTAATATCTAGAATGTAGAATAAAGCCCTGAGCTAGTGTGTTTATTTTCCTTTTCTTCTAGACATTATATTGTGCTCACTGCCAGTGCCTTTACAGAGGAGCATCACTTAAACTGGTAAGTCTGGCTTTGGGCGTGGGTCCAATTCATAGTTGAAACTCAATTCAGTGTTGCACTTTATTTTTGTTAATTGTATTAACAAATGAAGTATTTAATTATGCAGCTAGGCATGGAATACACTTCCACCCCCCACTTTGAAGACCACTGTTCTGGAGTCTTAGACTTGGTTGCATAAATAGTTTTACTTAATGTAATGTTTAGTTAAGGACTAGATTGCACTGGTATGTTGTCAGCCTATTCCAGACCTACTTTTCTTCAATGAAGGGAGATATGCCAACAATAACTTCTGTGAATGTGCTGACTAACTGTGAGTCTTGAAATAAGGGGATATATGAGGAATTAAGGCACTGTAATGTGTGTTATTAACTTTTCAAGGGTTTTCTTTGTCAAGAAATTAGTACTTTGCTTGCTCGCAAAACACCTCTCTGTAAAAACCTTAATTTTACTTAAAAGCTTGGCTTGTGCTTTAAATCAAATAATTCTTTTGCCATCTATAAAGATAGCTTAATGTTTAAAAATAGTTCTAATAAGTAACACCTTTTATCTGAGCTTTCTAATATATTCACTTAAAAAATCCTGTCAGCTGCAGTTTGGTGTCAGTCACAGCTATGTACAACAAGGTGTGTGGGCAGAGGGCCAAATAATTCTTAATGTGAAATGTTCTCAGGTGAACAAAGCTTGTTGTTTCAGTAAAGACAAGGGAAGTTCTGTCTCTGGTAAGAGCTGATGGTTTTGCAGTGACAAAAATGGAGGCAAATTTTTCAGTTTATCAGAAGATAAACTTGATTCAGGTTGCTATAAGAACAAGTTTAGTTCACCAACTCTTGTGTGGATTTGGGGATAGCACATCTCTGTTATTCATCAACATAAGATACTTTTGAATAACAGGTAGATTTCTGACTGCTTTCCAAGTTAGGGTTTTAGGTAAAAGGATAAAATACCAGTACTTTATTGAAATTAAAGCCCTTATGGCCATGGTTGATTTCTTGGGGAAGATTCTGATGAGACTGACTAGATCGTTTGTTTATTAAAATAATTCTGGTTTTCCATTTTCACTGATCAATCTGCAGGAAGAATTGTATGTTTACTTGGGTGTAATTGCACAGTTGTGCTTGAGCCTTTTCTAAACCACTCTTCTCCTTGATCCTTGGGGTAAAAAGGGGTTTTGCTGCACTTGAAAATGCAGCCAGAAGTGCTGGGATCTGCTCCTTGTTATTTTCATCATAGATTATGGGTGGAAGTGTTGTATCTGAACTGTTAAGAGTACGTGTTAAACTTACTTATCTTTGTCTTTAGAAACAAAAGCTTGAATGTCACTGGAAACACCTCACATAAAGATATACAGACCTAGTTATCTGCTCAGCTTATTGATAGGTTAACATTGTAATACAAAAAGGCATCTAAGTGATGTGCTGGACACAGTTAAAAATGAATAAATATCTCTTGTTCTTACCAGGATCGGCCTTGTTGAGTCTAAAATTCGTGTGCTGGTTGGAAACTTGGAAAGGAATGAATTTATAACTATTGCACATGTACAACCACAGTCTTTCCCTGGCAATGAAAATCTCTATAAACAGTGAGTTTTGTTACTTTGCTCTTCTGAAGTACAGTTTGGCCAGTTTATTGTAACTTATTTATTTATATTCGTTCACCTCAGCTCACGGGTGAGAGGTGTTGGGTGTGTTCTGTAGGTTTGTTCACTAACAGGGTCCTGAGCACATAAGATCTTTTTAAAGAAGGGAGAACGAACTCTGAGAACTTCAGTGTGGTCTGGCTCTAACCTTTAACTGCTGCATACAACTAGAGTGTGCTAGAATCCAAATAACTGGCACCTGTGCCCACATCAGGTTTGTGAATCTGTCTTTTTAGGAATGGGTATGTGTCAATGTGGTTTCTTGGACTTGTATTTAAGAAAGTGGAAAGTGCAGAAAAGACTAATGTTGATTTAACCCATGGGATACAGTCGTTCACAGACACAGGTAAGCCTCTGTTTTGCTCTGGACACGGGTTTACTTCTTTATTTTCTGGTGGAAATTCCTTCACAAAGTGAACTGTGCACTAAATATTCCTATAGAGAGCAACATATAGATTGGCTTTAAAACCATAACGTGTTGACACTTTTTTCAAAGTCCATCTTGAAACAGAAGTGTGTGTTAGTCACACACCGTGTACCATATGTGAAATAACAGTTCTGTAGATCATGATGTAAACACTGCCAAAGGAACTGCTTTTCCTGAAGGGAACAGTCAGATGTGAAGCCAGGAGATGTCCATTTCCTAAAAGGGTAGCTACACATGTTGAAAACCAGAAGTCAACTGCTGAACTTCGAAAGTGTAAATTCGCTGTTTCAAGCTCTAAGATGAGTTGTTAATGCCTGTTGATGGTATTTTTCCAAGACAACAGTTTGTGGATGACATGATCCCAGAAGTGTGAAAGTCACTGAGTTGTAATTGCCTCCTGTCTTGCATGTAAATTTTCATGGTCATATTCTCTTACTACTTTTGATAGATACAAAAATAAATTACTGCAAGTAATAATAAAGGAGTTTGGGGTGAGAAGTTGAAAGTATAGATCTTTCCCACAACCTGTTTAATTCTTCCCGAGCTGGTTGCTCTTGTACCTTTCAGAAGTGCATGTTTGCTTAGGCTCAGGCCTAAGAATAAGAGAACTGGGCTATTCTTCTGAAGTTACAAATGTGTTTGGGCAAAGTTCCAAACACTGAAATCCTTTAAATGTTTGTTGGAGTTTATCCATAGTACCAGAATCCAGAAAGAATTCAGCAGAAAAGGCATTTCTTGAGAAGTGTGAAATCCTTTGGTAAATGTGGGCATGACCAGTAGTTATGTGCTAGAAAGCTGTTACCATGTGCCTTGACTCTGAGAGAATATTTTTAGAGGGCAAAGATGAATTTCAAGTTGATAGGCTCAAGGATACAAGGCTCACTGGAGTCCTTTTGCTCAGAGACCTTTATTTCCCTTTTACATGAAAAAATTTTGAATTTATTTTTAAGGAACTATCCATGTTGGTGTGTATGTCCATGTTTGTGCTTTTGTTTTATTTTAGATCTGCTGTAGAAAGACTATTAAGCCTTTTTGTTGCATGTCCTGACTTTGATTCCCACTCTGTTAGTAAGCTGACTTTCCAGTTACACTCATGATAGTCCAGTTAGATAAGCTTATCTAAATGTGACTTAATTCTGTAATAACTGTTGTGCTACTACAGCATTTTCCAGTTCATAAAAGGCCATTCAGAAAAATCTGTTTAAATTGTAGTGAGTCTGCTAAATCAGATGTCCCTAAAATCCAGTCTTGCTTACTTGGACAGAATTTTGACATCTGAACTGCTGAAAAGTTGTATGATGCTACAGAACTGTTATGGAAAAAAAACCCACAATCACCACTGTAAATGCCAAATAAGAAATTATTCTGAATGTTGAGTGAAGTGCCTGGTCTCTCCTCAATGCACAGTTGGGGTGATTCAGAAAGTCCTCTGGGTCTATTCTCAGCCAGAAATCTAATGGTTAAGGGCAGACATGTTCCTAAAGAAACCATGTGTAACTCTGACAAGTACCTAATTCCAACATCCCCCAGCAAGCTAAAATTCTGTGTTTGATGTCAGTTTACAGGCAGGCCAGTGCCCTCAACATCCTAAAGGAAGGTATGAAGATTGAGGCAACTTATGTGAAGAGAAAGCAACTGCATTATTTTTTGCCAGCAGAAACCTTACAGAAAAGAAAGAAGGTATAATAAAAACTCGGCTCTTCTGGTAATTTTTTTTTTTTTTGCTTTAATAATTATTTGAAGACTTGATTTATTTTTTACCTGTCATTTCAGCAAAGAGTTTCAGATATTAGTCAAGGCAATAGTGGACTTCAGTGCAAAAGGTCGTCTTTAGGGGAAAGCTGTTCGGACAGTTCCAAAGACAGAGACTCCAGAGCACCATCTAATTCCTCTTTGTTAAATAAGATATCCAAATTGGACCCCTCTACAGCAGAGACAGAAAGGTTAGTGCCATCACCTGAGAGCTGTGGAGAAGCTGCTTTTAACTGAGTCACAGTGTAAATGAAGCCTAGGGTTTCTTGTTTGTGGATTGTAAATATGTGGAGGGCTCTGAGGAACAAAGCTGGAATCTCCTTTGGGCACGTGGTTGGAGACAGGTTAAAGAAATCCTGGAAAAAAAATAATTTTAATGTACATGAACACGTAGGAATGAAGAACTTGACACCAGGGAGATTTAGTCTTGAATAAAAATCTTCATAGGTTAGTGTGTAACTTGAAGCTGGAATATTTTATGTGGAAGTACCTGTTCTTTCTTCCAAAAAGTACAGTTAGAGCCAAGTGGATTAAGGAAGCACTGATCTTGGTCACAGAAACGCCAGAGCTGCTTCTGACTTAGTGGAGTGGTATGAGAACTGGGGCAGTAAAAGTGTCTGGGGAGACTTCCTGGGAAGTCTATTTATCCATAAACTACTTCAGCACAGGAGGAATATGTAATCCTGGGAGTAATTGCCCAGTCCTACCGAATGTGTGATGCCTGCTGTGTTCAGACAGTTTGGTTCTGTAGGGGTCACACAAAAAAAAGAAAAATAAGCAAAAACTTGTGTTGCACATCTGGGTAGAGCAGATACAATGCTTAGTTAGAAGCAGCACAGTGTGCTGGATAGACTAACCTGGGAAAACACTGAAGGAAATGCTGCAGTTTAAGCTGTGGCCTGAAGTTCAGCAGAAGGATGATCTTGTCCTACCTACATGACCTGTGACTGTGTTGTTTAATAGAGCTGTGGTGACAAGCTAAGAAGGTCTGTGCAAGCATGAACATTCTGGAAATGAGATATATAGTATTTCACAAACCAGCATTTTGTAACTCCGGTGTTTGACTTTTATAGAAATGTTGCATGTCAGAGTTGTAGTGGTGCCAACAGTGTAGCTGAGCCATCAACGTCTAAGGGACTCTGCATTCCCGTGACTGACCCAAGTATGTATTTGAAGTGGTATGTGGAATGCAGCCTTTAATTTCGTGGCCAAACTCTAAAAGCCAGGTGTCTCCTGCAGAAATGGAGGCTTCAGTTGCACTAAGAACATCGGGACCTCCAATGGGTTGCACCATTCCAGGATATAACACAGTTTCTCAGCTCAGAACGTGTTTTGTCCAAGGACACCATAAATTAAGTGGGACTCTAATCACGGATCCTAAGAGTGCTTCACCCAAACAACATTATTCACCAACCTCTAAAGTATCTCGTCTACCTACACCGGGAGAATGCCCCCAAAAAGCCATAGATGGAGAAAAGGCAAGGAAGGGGGGCTAGGCCAAGGGTTTGAAGTAGCATTAATTACTGATGTAGAATAAATTAACTGAAAAGAAATGCGTTTATGCATCCCCAGTGGATTTGGGAATCAAAATTTAAGCATAATTACTGTTTTACCAGGATGTACGTGTGAGAAATTGTCTTGAATATAACATATAGCTATTAAACAACATTTTTTCAGGAGCTGGCGCTTAATGAGTGTTTCTCATCTGGTGCCAAGGTCTCTAAATACTACTGTACTTATCTATCACTGCAGTGACCAATTGCTGAATGGACTCTCTCATCTGGAAGCAGTTCTCAGTACAGAAAAAATTGATCTCCAAGTGAAGTTATGAATCTTATAACTGTAAAAGTATGAGCTAATCTGGTTCTGGCAGATGCTTTTTGAATGCCTATTGATAGTTTTGCTGCTTTAGAAATCAGCAGCCAACTCAGCAGGTCATTCTACTGCTGAAATGAGTGTGGAGTTGCTTGTTAAATCTTGGTTTTGTGGAACCTTTTAGATTAATGCTTGATTTGGTTTATTGCTGTATGTAAATCTCCTTAAGTAGCTGTTCTTGTGTCTTGACCTCTGATTTGAGGCACAGGCAAAGAATAAGTAGAAAAAAAAAAACCCCTCCATTTTGACACTTGTAAAGAATCAACTTGCAGGACTGTTATCTGGTATTAAATATTGCAAGTACAGATTTCAAGGTTCGGGTAGTTAACACTTTTTGAGAGGCTTGAGATTCCAGAGGGGTAATGGTGGATTGTATAGATGTTCTTTTAAGAATGACTGCTGTGACATTTAATGTGTTGAGTAGGGCCAGTACTCAGATATGAAGGTAATTTTAGCACAGCAATTATTTTGAGTCTGTGTGTTTTGTTCTTCCAGCTAAACGTCTGGGATTCAGATTTCACAGAAAGAGGATGTCCTCAAGATGGGAGGAGGAGAGCTGCAAAAAATGTAAGTTTAAAGTGATTTCACTCTAGTGGACTAACTGAAAAGCTGAGTAGTCTAGTGCCTAGAGTACCTCACATAAATACTTTGCACATCTACTGATGGAAACAAAAATAGGCTTTTTGGTTTAGCTTATTTCAGTCTTCATTTTCCAAATATTGCACCTGGCTGCCCTATCTTTTACAGGTTACTACTAGATGATGTGGTAGTATCTGGTAGTATATTTTTATTTTCTTTTTAAAACCACTTGATTCCCTGATGCAAAACTGCTATAAAGACTAAAGCATTTGCCCTCTCCAAGGGAAGATAAAGAGCTTTGCTACTGAAGCATAAACTCTTGGGGGCACACCCTCAAATCAAGATGAGATCTTGTTGGTAGAGGTTGAAATACCTGAAGCACTGTTTTGTGTGCTTTTAGGGCCTCACAATGCCTAAACCCACCCCAGGAGGTGGAGGTTGTCAATGCAGGAATGATTTAAAGTATCCCAGCTGCCAGAACTTGCTGCCTCTCCATCATGAAGTTGGCAACACTGCCTCACAAATCTCTTCTGGCTTTTTTTTTTAGGGTGTCCTTGATGGAAAATCCATGCAGATTCCAGTGATCACATCGAGATCACAGGTATTTTTTGTGCTTTTGTATTCCTAGGTAAAACAGAACTAGCATTTCCATTTTACGTACAAAGATTTATGGAACATTAATCCCTGTAAACTTGGGGGTTTGAAGTAGTTGGTAAGGTCATGCTTCCAACAAATTAAATATCTGAACAGTGACCTTCCAGGTTTACTCACAGAAGTGAAGCCAAAGCTTCCAAGTTGTTGAACTTGAAAAAACATGTTTCTATGTCCTCAAACACTGACAGTTTGTGCCCTGATTTGGGGTTTTTTTTGTGCTGTTATCAGTACTTGTATTTCTGTGATGAGACCTGGAAGCTTTGAAGTCTATGAGTGACTTTAACTGTTCTGTGTCATGTAAAATGTTGTGAATTTGAGGGTTGTAATCTGGACAGTAGAGACAGTTTCCCTGATCCATGGATTTGAGAAAAATGGCAGCTTCCTCTATTATGCTCTTGAGCAACTTGCAACTAATTTCAGCTCCCATCAGGAGCTGTCTGTTGATACAAGAAAAGAATTGTGCAGGGGGGAAAAGGCTCTTCTTCTGTATCTGGTGCTAATTAAACAAGTGGTGTGGTGGAAAAAAAAAAAAGATCTCTGAAAAATGGGTTTGGGCCATGTTATTTTGGTACATAAAGAATGTTATATTCAGCTAGGAGAGGGTTTATCTGCTGCTACTTCTGAATTAATGAATTTAAAATTCATTGATTAATTTAAAATTCCCCTTTTTTTCTTTTTTTTTCCTGTGGCATATTTTTGTGTGTTATAGAGGCTTTCCAGTAAAGAACTACCAGATTCTTCATCTCCTGTTCCAACAAATAGCATTCGTATTGTTAAAAGATCCATCAAACTTACCCTTAATGGGTAACTGGTGTATCTCCAGGTGAAGAGGAATAATTCCTTCTTGATGGTCCATGTTCTGAATGTGTGTTGTAGTTACTAACAAAGCGTGAAAAGTTACTGTAACCAGTTCAAGTCATGGTTTTATACTGGGGTTAGATGCTTGTCTCCTTTTGAACTGCTCTTTGCATATGCTTGTAACATTATTGGCTTTTAAAAAGTCTTAACTGCTGCCACCAGCTTTTGAAACAGCCACGAAAACCCAACCTGTCCTGTGACTTGGATTCAGAATGTCAGCAGGGTCAACTGGTTGCTGCACCCACGTTCTGTTTTCGAGTGTGTTTGAACGTGCCCGTGTTCCCCTGCGCTTTCCTAATTCGTGTGCGCGTGTCATTCTTACCTTAAATTATTTTCCCATTTGGCACCTGCCCTCCTGTGCCTCTGCCACGATGGTGCTCAGCTCTCTGGGCTCGCAGCCTTCCTCTGTCTAGCACAGCCATGCCCTGCAAGGGTATTGCCTCCCATGGAGGCCCACAAATGATTGAAGTGTTGAAGGAAATGCAGCAGAGGATTCTAACCGAGGTGTGGGGATGATAGGCATGTCTTGTGCTGTGTTATCTGAGTAATTTTTTTTTTTTATCTTAAGACTGCTCCAAGATGAGACTTTGAGAGGCTTTTTCTTGTCACTGGGTAGTAAAGCCAAACCCTGAACACAGAGCTGAAGATGCACCGAGACATTGCAGCAGCTGAAGGCTGCTGTGACACTCGTGCCCACCTGCAGGGTGGAAAGCCAGTGGCAATGCAGAAAGTGGTTTCAGATAAACCCTGGAAGCTGCTCTAAATGCTTACATAAAAACCTCTAGTAGCCTTAAGTCTGGTTCTGTAAGCTGATAACACTGCTTACCCAGTTAAGTGCATTGGGGTGTTTGAGGGGTGGGGAGAAACTCTGATCCTATGGAACAAGTATTATGCTCCTTGTCTCTTGTAATGTCTTTCTAATGTGGTGTTTTTGTAAATGACCCTGTAACTTGTTTTTCTAGAGTATTTTTGTATGTCCTGTAAAATACTGTCTTGAAAGCAAAATTTAAAATCTTCAGTCTCTTTTTGTTTGGGGTTTCTTTTTAGTGCATGTGGTTTGCTTAAAAAATCTAAACAACTAAACCAACTCTAAGGGACAGGAGGAAGGCAGTGCCAGAAAAAAATGTCCTACAAAATGATAATGGCATAGAATTGTTTATGGTTGGATTCTATCTTAAAGGTCTTTTCCAACCTAAACCTAACACTACCGAGTCCAGCACTAAACTGTCGTGCTGGGGGAAATCTGAGGAGAATAGGAACACTGCTTTCCTGCTTCTGGGATATCCGTGTTTGGATTTAATGCCCTTGGAATTGTGCAGTTTGCAAACTGTTGACAGCTGAAGTCCCAGTTTGCCCTGTGGACAACAGATAGCCCAGAATTCTTTTAAAATTAGTTGCTTGGCTTAAAGAGCAAATCTGAGCTGGAAACATCTTAAGTACCCACCTAAAACCTTAGTGACAAGACTGAAGGACTATAAAGAAATAAGGTGGCATGTATTTTGTCTTGATTGTTTAGCATTCCTCCTGCTGCAAGTATTCCAAACTTGTGGAGAAAGCATGACTGTATTTATCACAATCTACTTGTTTTTTTCCTTATTGTCTCTGGTTTCCAGCTTGCTCCAAGTTAGAAATTGGCCTTAGTGGGTTTGAGAGGTCTTATTCTTTCCTCTCCTCTCCAAAACTTAGACTAGAAGGCTTAGATTTAGTCACAGGTTAAAATTAAGAAACAGAACCCATATTACTCCAGTAGCTTTTAGCAGAACTGCACCTTGGGTTTGTGAAATGGTTGCCTCAGCTTTGTGATGTGTTTTAAAGCAGTGGTATTCAAATATTGCCAGGTCTGTAGTAGTTACAGTAGGTTTACAACTACAGCACCTGTGTAAACACAAACTTGTCGTGGATCTGAAGGAATTAAAGCTGAAGTAGGTGATAAGATAAGATAAACAGCAAAACAAATATGGGAAGTGTTTTGTAGTAGTCTACGATCCCGTAATATTCCCATGCTTTTAAATTCTTCCACTTGAGTATTCCAAGGCTATTTAAGGGCTGATTTTTTTTTTCCCCCATAAGCACATGCACTTATGCAGCTACTCTCAAACCAAACTAACCTAACTAATGGATATCAAAGTATATACCTTTACACAAATCTTTATATTTTACTCTTGCTTCGTTGTTATCTTCTAATTGCTCTTTTTTTTATTTCTCCCCACCCCCTTCCCTCTTAGGGTTTTAAGAGGAATGTTCAGGGTTTTAAGAAGAACATTCAGGAAGAATTTAGGTTACTAGTTTCTCAGACTTGATCCATTGGTGAATTACACGTCTTATCTTAATGTATCTTGACATATAAGATGTCAAGTGTGATGTTAAGTGACGTCAGTGTTTTGGAGTTTCCCTGGATGTTGCAGAAGTTTGATGCTGCCCCAGGACTCTGCAGATTAGAATTCAGCTGTAATTTGTAAATAAAGTTCCAATTTATTAACCTTAAACGTTCTCCTTTGTTTATGGAGCAAGTCCTCTGTTGAAGTGACTGAAAGGGAAGTTACTCCTGCATAAAGACTCAGTGAGGGAGGCTCTTTGATATCAGACTTCCTGCAAATGTTGCTCTTTTTCTATCTTTCTTAGCTGATTGATGTATCTGTGACTTGAGATGAGGGGTGCATGCTCGGTCTCTTTAAAGAGGAGCAGTTCTATACTGAAATTGTAACTTTGAGCAAGAAATACCCTTGCAGGAATTCACATCTGTGCTTTTTACTTGTTAGGTACAAGCAGAGCAGCAGTTCACGTGAAGTCACCTGTTTTGGCTGTAGCAATTGATTTTCCTGTAGAAACTAAGAGAGAAAGTAATAGAATATTTACTTTTTGCCTTAATGAGGAAAAAGCAAAGGGGAAAAAAGGTACCTTGAAATTATGTAACCTTAACTTTGTGAGGGAGGAGGCCTATTAGCACTGCCTTTATGTAATAATTAAGTGACATAAGCTGTTCAACCTAAAAACACCAGCAAAAACTCCTGGCTGCATTTTTGTGATTACCTCATCACACTTCTTATAAAGAGTGTGGTCCTGTGCATTGTTCCAGTAAGTGAAAAGCCATGGCCGTGGGGAGCAGCCCCGAGGGGCTAAAAACCACCCTGGGCTGGAGGAAATCAAAGAGGGGGGGAACCTCTGTCGGAGCAGGAACTCGCTCCTGTGGGAAAACAGGCACCTTCCTCTACCACAGGAGCACCCCAGTGGGCTGATGCCTTCTGCCTCCATCCACCCACCCACTGGTGTGGCTGTGGGTGCTGTGAACCCCTTTCCTGGGGGGAATGGAAGGGGAGCTGTGGGTGGGTTTCCTGCCCCCCAGCCCGTGGTGGGGGCGGGCAGGGGGCCGAGGGCTGCGTGTGCTGCGATGGTGTCTCTGCAGTGCTCCCAGGGTTCCTTCTGGGAACAGCCCTGGGCTGCTCCCACCCCGGTCACCATCCTGGGGAGCCACCACAGCCCCCTGCTTCCCGCCTGGCTCTGCTGTTCCCTGCTTTCCCTGAGTCCTGCCAGGCCAACTGGAGCACACTGGGGTGTTTCCCACCCTTAATGGTGGGATGTTGAGAATTCCTTGCTGTCTCCCAGCAGGTTGGTCAGCGTGGGCTCCCGGCTGCTGGACCTTGTATATTGTTCTGGGAGGATCTTCACAAAGCAGTAGCCTGGGGGCTGATTTTTCTCTTGTTCCAGAAAATACTGTTAACCTCTCAGCTGTCTGACCTTCGAGAAATTGGTAGAAAAATCAAACTAGGACCAAAAGAGGACTGGGCAGTTCCTCTTTGCTGGGAAGACACTGTCTGAATCCTCCTGCTGTCTTCTCCCAACCTTGTTTCTTATTCACCCCTCATCTTTTTTTCATTTCTTCTGATCTCATGCTCTTGCCTGTCTTCTTTTCTCTCTGATAATTCGCATTTCCCTTTCTCACCTGAATCCATCTTTTCTCCCTGTGAATTTGAGCCAGGTAATACATTATTTGGTGACGATGAGTAAAAATCCCGGGAGTCCCGAACCTGGGGGAGAAATAACCTACTACCCTGTTTGAGTTTCAATGTGTGGCAGCCTGGCAATCAGCTGCCTGCTGTGGGGACCATCCAGCTCACTCTCTGCATGTCTGTGCAATGGAGAGAAAGCTGAAAATTTTGGCTACTAAAAGCAAGTCTGGTAAGCATGTGCAAGGTCGGTCTTATAAAAGATTCAACATGTGCCAAGTTCTGTGTGTCCTTTCAGAGGAAAAGCAAAAACTCCCAGTAATGACACCAGCACAGCCTCCATGCTAAATTTCATGTCCCTGTTTCTAAAATGTGCAGAAGTTTTTCTTAAAAGCTGTTGTAAGAATTCTTTGAATATAATTAAAACACATGTTCCTCGTGATCGTTCTTAGAAATGACTGAGTCATATTTGTTCTGTTTTTCCTACAAAAATAATCTGGAGGGGCAGTTTGTGTAATCATACTCCAAAGAAAAGGTTTTGGCAAACTGGGAGTAACTGAAAATGTGGCCTTAAAACAGGAAGCGTTGACTAGCCATGACCAACAAAGTGTGTTGATGGTATTATGATAAAAATAAATCGAGAGGTAATGCTGTAGCAAGTAGGTGCTAAAGCTAGAATTGCTTTTGTCCATGCAGTTTGAATTTTAATTCTGCTCTGTTTTTCCAGTGTGGCCACTTGGCCAGAACAGAGAGTTATCACACATACTCTGCCTCAGTGCTTGCATGCAAAGAAGAAAAGCTGAGGTTTAGTGAATCACTTGATGTATAAGTGCTTGGCCCTACGCCTTCAGCACTGCTGTGGAATACTGTTTGTTGTGATTTTTGTCAGGTTGTTTTTCCCTTTCTTATGTATTTGATGCTGAATTTACATTTTTATTACGTACAGCCTTTTTCCACTCCTTCAGCAGGAGGACATAACCCTGCCTTAGTGAGCAACACAACAGAGATTTCTAATAGCTAAGCTAAAGAAGCACCAGCTATTTGAAGTCTATACATTTTCTGCTCTCCTGAAACGAAACAGGCATTAGACTGTCAGCAAACTGAAAGCTGGTCCTGATTCTGAATTTTATTTATGAAACCAGAAGTCTTCAAGTATTTCTTGCAAGGCCTGTAACAGGTCATCACATTCACTTCTGGTTTTGCCTGGGTGGTGTAGCACGTGTTAATTTTCTCTGCTCATTTTGAGTGGTTTTACAGGTCTTTAACCAAGACTGTACTTTTTCTGCTATTTAGGATTACGGCTGTTGGGAGAGTCTGAAAAGCAACCCAGTGTAGCTTTTGCTCAGGGCACTTACCCAAAAAATAAAATACCCAATTTTGTCAAATCACAAAACAACAAGAAGATCATGGGAACAGTATTTTTTTTCTGGAGCAATAGGTTTGCAGTAATTTAGTTAAAATCAAGTGGGACAAAAACACGCCCCTGGGAACTGTATTTTGAGGAAAATGACAATGTTGCAAACAGCGAAGTACGAGGAATGAGAAGGCCAGGGAATCCCCTGTTTCTCTTCCCTCTCCTGTTCACCCACTAAATAAATCCTGGCTTACACCAAATGGTAAGTTGTGCAAGTACAGAGATGTTTGCTGTGCTGTCACTCAGAGTAAATGTTTGGTACATTTAAAAAAAAAAAATTATCAATCAGTTGATTGACATTCCTCTTACAGAAATGAGTAATCAACAGCATGTTAATTTTTTCTCCCCTTCATACATGTTGTGACTTCAAGTGGGGAAAATTAAGTAAAGGTAATAATATCTCGATGTTCTCCAGACTCTGCTTATTTCAAGTTATTTTGAGTTTGCCTTTCAGTAACAAGTAAACTGAGATGG